CACAGACAACCTCTCGTCAATATGCGTTTTCTGCATTGCATAGCTGCAAAAAACGCATAAAAAGACTTAAGAAAGGTCGCCGGTTTTACAGTCGGCGATAAAAGAGACAGATAATATTTTACATAAAAACTGAATAAAACATTTGACATGAAAAAAAACAAACTATATAACTTATACATACGACGCAAAACATATAATATTAACATAAAACATCGCCTTTCAGAAAATCTCAGTCGAACAGCTGGCAAAGTACAATACACGAAGAGGTTGCCTTACTTTTTAGCTCGAGCCATTGGTGAAAGTGGAAAAACAGTCTCTTCAACAAGAAAATCAGTTCTGTTGATTTGGTGCTGATGTGCGTGGCGTACCAAATGGTCAATCTGCCCTCTGCCTGTGTTTTATGTAATCTTTTAAAAATACGTGATTCTATTAGTAATGTGCTACCACCCAGACCTGCACAGGTTCCATAGAAACAAGGAAAAAGATAAAATTTTGAAAGCCGGCTTACAGAAGGTCTTCGTTCGGCATTTATCAAGGCAAGCATCAATTCAGCGGCCGATTTGGTGATCATATCTACGGGGATATCATGGTGCATGAAACGCTCCATGCCCGATCGGAAAACAGTTGCTGCGTATGGTTGTAAAATCCCACAGGTCCTAGCTGAATTGTTCTCCAGTTGCTTCCGAAATGGTTCAGGGACTTCTTTCAGGTTTCGGCGAAAAGCTGGTAATAAACCTAAAAAGTAACAGTTTCATACAGTCGTTCTTTGGGGAGGAATCGAGTACCATTTATGTACAAAAAAATTCATATAAATAGCTGCCAACAGCATGGCTGCCGGTGCGATCATGCATTTTTTGCGCAATAAGAATATAACGATCGAGGTCCTCCTTGACCATCCGAAGCTTTCCTGTCAAAATCGACTTAAAATTTCCCTTATTATGATCAAAAGTTCAACAGAAAAATTCGAAAAATCATTTAAATACTGTACCAATGAATGCGCCGACTTTTGACCAATCTTGATTTAGTACAGCTTCACGAAGCTGGATCATTCGCTGCTTGAAAGGGTGATGGCGTGCCAGGCGAAACCTGCTATCTTTTTCCCTAAATTAACAAGAGTGTTGCATAAAACAAGTGAAATATTCGAATATTACGGATACCTTTGCCCCAAAGATGGCTGTTCCAGGATTAGCTTGCCATTAAACGTATCCAAAAACCGGTTAAATGAGAAATCTATAAGAAATTTGGATAAAATCGAAATTTAGGAATAAAAAAAAGGGACGAACCGAAGAAAAGGAGTTATGAATTCCAACCATTTTGCATAATCAAGCGAACGCTCCAAATTATCAATATCCCGGAACCTAAAATATTCGAAAAAAACATACTTTTGCAATGCATTAACGTAGGCAAGAAAACACTAGGGGACGGGAAATCGGGCGTTAAATTCTACCAAAACTAAGAAATTGCTCAAAAACCAAGTTTTGCTCAATTTTGTTGCCCAAAATTTGCAAAAAAAAAACAATGGCTTCTAGATAAAAAGGGTGATAAGATGGCTACTAAGTGTGACAAGTGCATTTTGCAAAAAAAAACTGTTATAAATACATTTTGACCGCCTCAGCCATTCCCCTACCAGGAATCCCTGCGGCCCAAACCAGCACCATGCCGTCCCCTCTTTTTAAGGTAATTTCCCCTACGCATCTTCGACCCAGGAAATTTTTATCCAGTCCCCTTTCTCCCCAACACTCAGGTTTCATGAACGACCCTAGAAAAGTTCTGGCGGGGAAAATTGTTATCTTCAAAACCACAAAAATGAGGAGATTGAAATTTTATGAAAATTTTGGCGGATAAACTATTATCTCGGGAAGCAAAAAATCTACGAAGCTGAAATTTTAGGGTTACCCAGTTTTTGAAAAGTCACCCAGCGTTTGGGGGAAGCTATTCAAGTGCTGAGAGGAAAGACACCCATAACAGCTTGGTGCAGGAACGATTGTGTTTTTACAAGGCCGAGCTAAGCCGAGCTGTAGCCTCAGTTCATTCTAAAACTTACACATTTGAAGGAGGAAAATCACGACGCAATCCATAATATCCCTTTGAGCGAAGCATTCTTTCGAGCATCCATGGAGGGGAAATTTTCTTAAAATGCCGAAAAATCAATTCCTTGAAGCCGTATTTCAATAAAATTGCAAAAAATTCAACAGCAATCTGCAACAAAAAAATCATTTTTTTCAAGAATTTCAAATTCTTGGTTCAGCTTTCTTGCAACGAATCTGAGGTTGTAATGCAAAAAAAGAAACCACTTACAACGAGTGAAATTTCCTTCCGTTCAAAACGTTTCATGAAAAGCAAGCAGTAATTTTCCACTAATTCATTGTACCTTTGTTTGCCTGAAACGATAGCTTTCTGTGTTTCGACGGAGCATTAACATGATACGGCAGATACAGCATTTTTTGCCGAAGGATGGAAGAAGGTCAAAAAACAAACCCGCAAACCCTACCAGAAGGCTGGTCAGCATATAATGACAGTGCATCCGCTGATGCAATATTACCCATACCAAATCTGTGCTGATGACACAAAAGTTGAGTTCGAGGGTGTAAAATGATCGCGGAAAAGTTTCCCGCCAAAAAATGTGCGTATTTTTTGATGTGTCCGTACGCGGTACCCAGTCGTACGCGGGTGATGATATTAAAACGATAGGCACATACTCCTGAAGTTCCAGCCTTCTAGCTTTTCTGGTTCTCTAGTTGAAAGTGGGTGACAAAAAGTGCGAACACACAGTCTCTTAGCAACGTGCGTTTTCGCATTTGCATATATGCAAAAACGCATT